ATGGGTGTATGTATGTAGGTAGATGTGTGTGTATACATGGGTGTATGTATGTAGGTAGATGTGTGTATACATGGGTGTATGTATGTAGGTAGATGTGAGTATACATGGGTGTATGTATGTAGGTAGATGTGTGTATACATGGGTGTATGTATGTAGGTAGATGTGTGTGTATACATGGGTGTATGTATGTAGGTAGATGTGTGTGTAGACATGGGTGTATATATGCATGTATGTGTGTGTGTAAATGTTTGTATCGCTGTGTGCAAATGTTTGCATTGATGTGCGTAAATGTATAAGTGTAGATTAACCGTATGTGTGTAGATATCTGTGCATCTCCTATGTGTGGTGACGTTTGTCTAACGCCAGTATATCATTTAAGTGTATCAATGGTTGTACGTACATGTTTGTGTGTATGTATATAAGTGAGTCGTCTTGTACCTCGACTTGTTCGTATACACCCCTATGTATGCGTGTACCACTGTATGCTGAAATGGGCGGTATCGCTACTTTAACTCTGAGACAAATGTACATGCCTGTGTGTTGGTGAATAAAATACGTGCGGACGTAACAGCTCAAATGCACACCCATTGCAACTGCATCCGCCAAGAGGCCGCTGTAGCCTGAAAACATGACACGCACTCTTGGCCAACATAATTACCTGATCTATAGATATTATATCATAATCACCTGATCTATAGATATTATATCATAATCACCTGTTCTATAGATATTATATCATAATCACCTGTTCTATAGATACTATATCATAATCACCTGCTCTATAGATATTATATCATAATCACCTGTTCTATAGATACTATATCATAATCACCTGATCTATAGATATTATATCATAATCACCTGTTCTATAGATATTATATCATAATCTCCTGTTCTATAGATATTATATCATAATCTCCTGTTCTATAGATATTATAATATAATCACCTGTCCTATAGATATTATATCATAATCATATCATATATTCAGAACAAGTAGGCCAGCAAATGCAGAGTCTGCATACGCTCGCTGGTATATAAAGCTTCAGCCGAAGTTTTTTTTTAACAGTTGCACCATAGTGCATCACAACCAACAGATCTATAAATAAGCACAACATGCGTTTAGAACAAGTATAAGTTAATATACAGTCCATATACATGAATAGCACATGCGTTTAGAACAAGTAGATAAGTTAAAATACAATCCATATAAGTCCACATACATAAATAGCATGCGTTTACACTAAGTAGATAAGTTAATATACAATACATATAAGTCCACATACATATATAGCACATGCGTTTAGAACATTTAGATAAGCTAAAATACAATCTATATAAGCCCACATACATAAATAGCATGCGTTTACAATAAGTAGATAAGTTAATATACAATCCATATAAGTCCACATACATACATAGCACATGCGTTTAGAACATTTAGATAAGCTAAAATACAATCCATATAAGCCCACATACATAAACAGCACATGCGTTTAGAACAAGTAGATAAGTTAAAATACAACTCGTATAAGTCCACATACATAAATAGCACATGCTTTCAGAACACGTAGATAAGTTAAAATACAATCCATAAGTCCACATACGCTTGTTGGTACACCGCTATAGCGTCCACCAACGCATCCTTGACATTCTTAGCCTTGAGTCGATTGGTGCGGCGTTCCAAGGCCGAGTTGTAACGACGTTTTTCTTCTTTGGTACTCGCTTTCACCTGCACACGTATAGCGTGGAGATTACGATTAAAAAAATGAATACGATAATCTCTGTATGCGCATGCATACATATACATATATATCTACATATCTATACATTTATACATATATAGGTATGTAACTATATATCTAC